ATTTTGTTTATTAATATTTTTTTATTTGCCATTCATAACGGATTGGATAAGATTTTTTGACACTGGTAATTCGATCAGGCTCAATTCGAAAGAAAGACGAAAGTGACGCATCTCACATAGCGGACTGGCTGCGTGAGGTTTCCGTAATGTTGCATAAGTGTGATGCGAATGAAATTAGTTTTCCTTTAGAAAATCCTCCAGGATCTTTCTTCAGTTGTAAAGACATTCCTTCTTTCAGCAGATAGTCTTCACATGCCTTTCCTTAACCATTTAAACTATAAAAATTGAACAGAAGCTGTAAAATCTTGCAAATGATCTTAGAGACTGAAAACGAAACTCAGAAGGTGCAAGTGCATCAGATTTTTCTGATGAATAAGATGTGCTGCATTCATGTTATCAGAAAATAGTCTACATCAATAGCTCTCTAATCTACTTGGTACTACATTAAAGAACAGAATCTGGAAGGCATTTTTTGAAGAATGTCTTCTGAAGCGTCTGCTTCAGAAAAAGGCAAATTTTTGAAAGCAAGGCTAACAGTAATTTTTTTTATTATCTTCAATAAATGAAGGACAGCTATAAGAAGTCACTGTATAATAGCAGTAGAAAAAAGAATGGCGTGTTCAATTGGATGCAGAGAATAGTTAAGGAGTTTGCTACTGAAAAATTATTTAAGTAAAGAATTTAGGGGGGGGAATCATTCGAAGAATATAGGACTTAGAAATGAAAAAACAAAATTAAGAAATTTTATGTACTTCAGTTGCGAAAACACAAGACAAATCTAATTACATTCAACCTGGTCAAAAATCAGACTGTATACTTTTATATAAAGATTTATATTATAATATTGTAAAACGTAAGAAAAAACTAGAAGAAAATCTGTGCTGCTATATGTAATAAACAAAAGTTAGCTCTTTTTTTCAGGTTGATTTTTTTCAAGGCTGAAATTTGTAAGAGTACATTTCAACAGTAATAGTGAAAATGTATAAGACTTTTTATATTTGTGTCTTTAAAACTTTTAAATGAAAACTCCTAAGACTTTTCAGATTGAAATTATTACGCACTTTATTTAATACTACGTAAGTATTGCATTACAATTTTTCGATAAGTTTGTACCTATTCGGGTAAGGAGAACTAAATCACTTTGAAAGTTGTTCATGTAAAATCAAAATAATTTATTAAATTATTAGTTTACTATTAATTAATTAAATTATTAGTTAATAATTAGTACATTAAGTGCCTATAATTTGGTTTTTTTTTAAACGAAACGACTAGCGATAATAAATTGTGTGATATTCTGAACATATTAAAAGAAACAGAGTTTTAAACAGTATCCTGTATAGGGTTTTTACGAGTCCCATTGCAGGGCTTTCAAGATTTCTTAAAATAGCCCTTTTTCAAGGTTAAGAAACCTTGAAAGCCCTGCATTCCGCTTTTCATTTAAGATCGTATTTATGAATTTTATCTGCTGAAAAAGCAGGCTATAACTTCAGTTTAATCAAATTCAGAAATTTTATTTAATGTTAATGCTTAAACAGCTCTCGGCAAAGAAATAAACATTAGAGAAGCGAAGAGGTTTTCGTAGAATAGCTGATTAAAACCCGTCGAAGCCGTTGGACTAATATTGATAGAAACATAAAAAACTGACGCAAACATCAGCTTTAGATGTTTTAAAGCAGCTGTTTCTTTCCTTTCCTTGTTCCTATTCTTTTCCTTCCTGAAGTTTAACCAGAATGTAACTAAATATATGTCTATGTCAAATGAAATTTTTTAGTTGTATTTAAAATGCAATATGCGTTTGCATGAGAACATCAAAAATATTTTGAAAATGAAAACGTTATGTGCACTGAAAATACTGTAAAAAAAAAAAAAAAAAAAAATACTCTCTGAACTATTCTGACAATTTATGAATTATTTCATGACGTTTCGTTTTAATTTACTATTTATTTCTTGATCTTTTTTTTTCGTTCATTATCTTTTAACTGCATATATTTATATGGAAGAGTAGCATGAAACCTTGGACTTTAAAACTGAGTAAAACTCCAAATTCTCTTTAGTTTATAGGCAGCTCTATATTTTCCGAGAGGCTCTAAAACTTGTCTTTCTTTCGAGGGGCCACCAGCGGCCGAGCGGTAAAGTCGCTGAACACTGGTAGTTCGGTCCGAGGTTCGAATCCCGTGAACGGGCCGGCTGCATGGGCGTTTTCGTGGGTTTCCCCATGTGTAACGTGTATACGAGCCAGTTTCCCTTAGAAAGTCCTCCACGAAGGCATCCCTCCCCTTAGGCAGATAGCCCTCGAGGCTTTGCCGTAATCACACACACACACGCACTTTTACAAGGCGAAAAAGTATTCCTCACCAAAATATTCTGTACCATTTGAGACCTTTATTAAAGTCTCTGGAAATACATCAAATTTTTCTATGAAACCGAAATCTAATGTAAGTTTGAATTTTGCATTATTCTTTGTTGTATTAATAATCATGCATTCCCCACCCAATAATTTGAAGATCCTGACTTACTTTAAAAGAATTACATTACTCCTCTAAAACACGAATCAAATGACTGTTGAAATGAGTTATAGGAGCAAAGATATTTGATGCTGAAGTTTATGAGAATACAAAGTTGTAGAACTGTTTGCAGTACTGAAAATGTTACGAGCAAATCATAGTTAAAGTAGTATCAAGCTTAAAAAAAGTTTCCAAATTAAAACATTTACAATCCTTAAAATAGCGGATACATAAGAAAGTAACCAATAAAAAAATTGCTTTTATTTTGGGAATTTAAAATAAAAAACTGAAATCTAGAGAGAGGAGGAGCAGCATGTAATTCTAACACAGAAACCACGCATTTAGGAAAATACAGAAAAGTTACCTTTGCATGTTAGATATCATTACATGTCCTAGAGTTATCACTGCATGCCATTAACATTAAAGTAAAATATTCACACACTATTTCTGTTTAGTTATATTTTGATAAGCGATTTTTAATTTAGCCCAGAAAGGCATTCAAAACCGCATTTTACATTGAATCACTTTAAATGTCCGAATCACTTTTCAAATTGTTGTCACTAAATATTATCGAACTTTATTATATTTAAAGAAACTAAATAATGAGGAATGTACATGAATGTATGTATGTATGTTTGTCGTTTTGTGAAAAACAACGGTACCTAGAGCTATCAAATTTGGAATAACATAGTTCTCCATTCGAATATGGCACTTCGAAGTGTAGGGAATAAAATATTTTTATCCCCAGTGCACGAGACTGTCTATCTAAAGTTCTAAAGATATGCAGTTTTTAAATATTTTTAGCACAATGTGGCGAAATGCCAAATGCTCTCGAAACATGTATGCGTCCGTAAAATTAAAAAAAAAAAAAAAAAAATAGCCCGTTTGAGCGTAATATAAAATATGAAAGCTTTCGGATTTTTTTCATTACTAAAAGTAAAATTTTCGAGATTAAATTTCTACTGACATTTTTTTCTCAGTTACATAAAAGAAGTGTCGGAGCCTTCTTAGTTAGGGCTCCGGTGTGCTCCCGCTAGAATTATGATTTAGCCATAAACCTAAGAAGAAATAAGCCGGCGAAATTCAAGCTCTGACATCGGATTAGTCATATAAAGTCGTCCGGCTGTCCGGCCCCTCTTTCACCTGTCTGACATAACAGAGACGGATATGAATGTGACTAAAAAAAATTAATTTATTCGTGGGCATTCTTGATAAGCATGAACATGTTCACATACCAGTTTGGATATGATTATATAGCGAACACTCCACTTTTATGTAACGGATCACATCACTGATAATGGCTGAAGCAAAGAAATGAGCAGCACAAGTTTTTATAGCGAGAGGAAGATAGGCAAAAAGTGTGCGCAGTCAATCAGTCGGTCATACCGGTATCGCAGAGATATCGCGCGGAGCGCGACGTGTCCTGCTCAATGATAGAATTAGCCGTATGGGCACATGACGGTAAAAACAGGACGCGCCAAGGAGGCAGGTGAGAGGAGGTGACCATGCGTCACGAGGGGAGAAATACCAAGGAGAGGCTGGTGTCGCGCAATCTGACGCGCATTTTAGCAAAGGGTATTTATAGAGCTGAATCCTTTAGTTAGGTTTTGAATAGTGATTGGACAAAACTGGGAAACAGCGAAGGAATGTAGATGAGTAGCATAGGAGGCTCTTTTGAACTCTTGAAACGCAGCTTAAATACTGTTTCTGAAACACGTTTAGAATTTGCATCTACGTCCTACAAAATTTACATTCCGGCAGGAAACTGAAATCAGTAGGGAAAGGAAGAAAACTAAAAATAACTGGTTAGAATAAAATAAATCCTTACACTGTACAATGTCATAAGGAAGAAGTCATATAAAATAAATATATGAGAGAAAATACACTAAAATTGTTTAATACATTCTAAAATTACAATATTTTGTTAAAAATGCATGAATTTTTTTATATAAAATTAAAACGTCAGAACACACACACAAAAAAATAATAATAAATACAAAAAACGCAAAACTAGAGAGGATAACAATAAACATGATGAATATTTTTGAACGAGGTTATTTAAAAATGAAGCAATGTTATGCCAAATATTAGAAAAATTGCATGAATACATCAACCACAGCCATCACATTGATTTAAATCCGGCTATTGTGCAATTAGAACCTGTGATTTCGTTTCTGGAAGCTAAATTATATTTGTAAAGTTAATAAAAACAATAATAATACAAAAAATAAACATAAATCTAATAAATAATTTTTTCAAAACTTTTATTTGCATTTTTAATCTGATTGTGATTTTTTAAAGTTATTTAAGTGCAGTTATTTGTATTATGATTATGTTGTATAATGTATATTGGTTGAGAAAAATTACTCATTTAAAAGAAAGTGGTTGAAGGAAAAAGGTTGGGAATCTCTGGGTTAAATGAAAGCAATTGCGCCAATTTGGCGATATTCATAGGAATTAGCTCACTTTGCGATGAGAAACTAACCTGTTGGATACGCTAAACGAGCATAACTGTTTCGTTCCCGTTGTTAGTGTGATGGAGGTTTTGAATTTCAATGGAAAGTATTAATGTGTTGCAATTTTTCGCGAATTATTGTGGTATCTCAGAATGTGAAACGCTTTATTTTTATATTTGCTACTATGATTATTAAGTAAAATTAATTTTGTGTTAATTCAGGAAGAACGAAATGATGAATTATGTAAGGAGCTTCAACAAGTGTCATCTCATCTAGCAAGTTTGTGATTGTTGAATATTTTTAAACACGAAAATTTCGTAAGATAATTCTACGAAATGCGGACCGATCTCACTAAACGAGTATTAACTTTCTGTACGTTTTTTATTTGTTGTGGAGCCTTAGCTCTTTTATCGGCATCTTTCGCCACGCAAAGATGGATCGTTGCAAAAGCTGTGAAAGTAGGGTTGCCTCCGAGTATTAGCAACGCTACTGCAGGTGATAGCACGAAATTTCGTGGGGAGCTACACTTTGGATTATTTGAAGGCTCTAAAACTTTGAATCATGGGTTTGGTGACAGGAAAAGCCATATCTGGGGTAAGGTTTATTCAAATTAAATTTTATAATTAGTACATATGAGTAATTATTATTGTTTGATTTATAGATATTTATTTCATTCTTCATTTTAGACTTCAGTGTAGAAAATTTCAAATTTTTAGGATCCAGTTGCAATATTTCTAAAAAAAGTATTTTCATGATCATTTATTAAAAAAAATATTTCGATTTGTTTTTCGTAAGTACATTAAGTACAAAAACAGTTAATAATTTGAAATTGTCTTCCGGATTTTAGTGGGGAATAAAAGATTTTTAGAAATTCTTGAGAGTATATTTTTTTTCCCTAACTGCATTTGATGCTTCCTAAATAAGTTTTGTAAATTCATGTAGACTCAAATTAATGCTATGGATAGCAAAAGAGCGTTGTTTATTGTATAAATCTTAACAGAATAAAGCGGCGAAAAAATTAACTTCAATTTATGAAAACATGTGGGTAATGAATTTTTCCCTCCTCACCTTCATCATGTTAAGTAACATCAAAGTCTTCATTACCTGTGCCTGCTGATTCCCCTTCCTTCAAGAAATAATAATTCAGTATCCTTCAATCTTCATATCATCATCATTTATTTATTTTTTTTTAATGTTGTACTGAAAGAACGTTAACCATGTAAAAACTGAAGAAACTAGCTAAGATTTTCTGTGTACCTTGTTATTTCTTATTTTAAATTTTTATTTTATGTCATAAAGTTCATGTTTCTTCATTATTGTAGTTTATTCAAACTAGGAATGCTGTTAAGTTTGTCACATAAAAAATATGAAGCATATGTTTGAAGGAAATTTTCTATTGCTCATCTTATTAGTCTTTTGAATATATCTGATTTTTTTTTTCGAAAATCTTTGACAGTATTCTGATTAATTAAGTTTCTATTTTCATCAAATTCTTATTTGAGCTCTGCAGTAATTACGCATATATTGGTAGATTGGCCCAGGTTCAATTTTTTTGCAGTTGAATGGGATTTACATGATGTTCCTTATGTGTGTACCATAAATATAAGTGAGCAAAAAAATCTCAGACAGGTAATCCATGAGTTATATGTTAAAATTATCAAACCTTTACTTCATTTAAGCAAGTATTGAATCCTCTGGATTTTAAATGTTAATTTAGATCTAAGTCTCTTTTCCCCCCTTTGACTTTCAGTAAATGTGGTATGGATCACAGGGATGTGAGTTTAAACCTGCTGACTTTGTATTCTATCTTAAAGTGAAATGAATAATCATTTTTATAGGTAACTGTTTATGTATTTGAAAAATATGTATTTTATTATGTATAGCATTCTCTTCTTCCCATTCTCATAGTTAAATGCACATGTTTCATAATGTCATCGAGTAGTGTTTTTTTTTTTTTTTTTCTTTTCCCAAAGTTTAAATTTTGGTAGTGCATACTTTGTACTGGATGATGACGCCAGGACAATGAGTTGGTTACTGCAGTTTTTCACATTCAGGAGATATCACTACAAAAAGAATAGTTACATAGAGTTTGTTTTCTGGCCACTAGAGCATTTTTCATTCTCTATTTGGCTGTAATAATTAAAAAAAAAACTCTATTAAAGTTACCATGAAGACAATTACTTTATGTTTAGGTAAAAGATCATTTTTGTTTCATTTTTCTGTAATTTCACCATTTACACCTTTCTTCTTGTCAAACATGACTTCATGCACAGTGTTTTATCATTATCTAAAGCAGTCCAGCCTTCAATTATGAAGAAATAACATTCATGAAATCAGACTTGTAGCAGTTTCATGATTTTTGTTTTTTTTGTTTGCTTTAATACATAAAGCATATGAAAGCTGTCTGCCTAAGGAGAGGGATATATCTGTGAGGATCTTAATTTTATTGAAACAGGCAGATATTTATATTAAACAGGAAAACCTTGAAAACACCTTGAACACTCATGCAACTTACCTGTTCACCAGAATTATAATCCAGATCAAACTACTGAGTGTTTAGTGGATAAACTCATCTGTTAAAACAGATATATTCATGACAGTATTTCTTGCTTTGGTTTCTGTTAACTTCAGTTGTAATTTTTTTAACTTTAAAATAAGAGTTTGATTTTTCAAGGTTAAATTAAGCAATTTAATTAAATTTTTAGTTGCTTCAGCTCATCCTCTGTTAATGAACATTCATCTTCTTACCCATCTCAGACATACTCAAATGATGGTACCCACGACAAAATAATAGCCAGTTCAAAATCCAAGACCATACCACGCACATGCAAGCAAACACAGCAACTGGAAACCAAACCTGAGTCCATACGAAAACGTTACTATTACAAAAGATCGCAAAAATCTAAAGTTATCACAACACGTTTGGAGATTTTTGCAGAAATAGCCCCTTTTTAATGACAAAAAAAAAAAAAAAAAAAAAAAAAAAAAAAAAAAACTGCAAATTTCTCTAAGGCTAGTTTCACCAACGTTATTAACATTAGGCTTGCCGAAAAGCTGGTTTCACGCAGTGGGCTTTCAGATTTCACGAACAACCAATACCACTTGGCGATTTTCTTCAAACAGAAACCAAGGGGTACCGTACAGTAAAGATCAGCCTAATCATGCATAAATCCAAAGTTCCAAGTGTTGTGCACCAGTCTAATTCTGTATTGTTGTAACAGGTTTAATTAATTTATTTTGAAAAATCAAGATGTTATTTTATGGGGATCAAGATGTGATACTCTTATTTTGAACTTTAATAGAAGTTTAAAGTTCACCACCTCCTGAAATGTGCTGTCTTGGAATTAAATTAGTTGAACTTCAGAATTTTCTATTTATAAATGATGTAGATATATACATGGTCAAGAAGACACAATTCTTTGCAGCAATCTTAATTGAAATTTATCTTATAGATGTAATAGACTTTGATATCAGGTATGGTAGTGTTTTTCTGTCAATAATTATTTACTCTTTTGTGTTTTTGCTAAAACTAACTATGAAAAATACGAGAGCAGAAAATTGCAGTTGATTTTCCTAAATATGAAAACATGTGCCACTTACAAGCTGCCAAATTTTATCATTTCACAGATGCTCATGCGATAAAATGCATAGATTCTTTTCCATTGGTATAGAGGGCAGTATTAACATTAAGCACTGCAGATGGTACTCATCTTCACTTCCATAAACAGAGATGGTGCTAATCTCCTCAACTATAGATTCATATAGCCTTATATGTTTTATGTTCCTGAGAAAGCTATGGACTCAACAAGTCATTGGAAGTCCCCTGCAGGAATATTGAGCCATGCTGCCTCTGTAAACGTCTATAGTTGTGAAAGTGTTGACGGTGCAGGGTTTTGGGCACGAACTGACCTCTCGATGATGTCCCATAAATGTTCGCTGGGATTCATGTCGGGAGATCTAGGTGGCCAGATCATTCACTGGAATTGTCCAGAATGTTCTTCTAACCAATCGCGAACAATTGTGGCCCGGTGACATGGCGCATTGTCATCCATAAAAATCCCATCGTTGTTTGAGTACGTGAAGTCCATGAATGGCTGTAAGTGATCTCCAAGTAGCTGAAGGTATCCATTTCCAGTCAATGATCGGTTCAGTTGCACCAGAGGACCGAGTCCATGCCATGTAAAAACAGCCCAGACCATTATGGAACCACCACCAGCTTGAACAGTGCCTTGTTGACAACTTGGGTCCATGGCTTCGTGGGGTCTGCGCCACATTTGAACCCTACCATCAGCTCTTACCAACTGAAATCCTGACTCATCTGACCAAGCCATGGTTTTCCATTCGTTTAGGGACCAACCGATATGCTAACGAGCCCACAAGAGTCGCTGCAGGCGATGTCGTGCTGTCAGTAAAGGCACTCAAGTCTGTCTTCTGCTGGCATAGCCCAAGGAAGACAAATTTCGCCGCACTGTCCTATCGGACACATCCCTTGTACATCCCACATTGATTTCTGTGCTTATTTGACGCAGTGTTGCTTGTCTGTGAACATTGACAACTCTACGCAGACGACGCTGATCTCGGTCATTAAGTGCAGGTGGTCGGCCACTGCACTGTCCATGGTGGGATGTTATGCCTGAAATTAGATACTCTCGGCACACTTTTGACACTGTGGATCTCTGAATGTTGAATTCCCTAACGATATATGAAATGGAATGACCCATGTGTCTAGCTCCAACGACCATTCCGCGTTCAAGTCTGTTAATTCTCGTCGTGCGGCCATAATCACGTCAAAGCCTTTTCACATGAATAACTTGAACACAAATGAAAGCCCTGCCAAAGCACTTCGCATTTATACATTTTCTACGCGATACTACTGCCATCTGTATATTTGCGTATATACAGATTGCATATATACAGCTACTGCCATCTGTATATTTGCAGCATAAGGGACCTCCAAAAATAGAAAGTTGCTGTTTTCTACATCAGAATTCATTAATAATACCACTAGAATCATTCTAAGAGAGAATTATCATCTGAAATAATATATATATATATATATATATATATATATATACAGAAAGATCATATTAAAATGAGAAACAACTTAACTTTCTGGGTGGCATGCTTTTATCCAGGTATGAGATTTCTTGTCACTTTTTATATATTAGCTTATAATTTAAATTTTTTATTACTTTAATGATGTAAATACGAGGGTTGGAACTTTAATAGTGGCAACTATTTATTTACAACAAATACAAAAGGGATTCATGTCACCATGTTTTACAGTCCTTCAATATAGTCGCCAGCATTGTGTACAACCCGTTTCCAACGATGTGGAAGTTGCAGAATACCTGTAGCAGCGCCTATTTTGTTGATAGTTTGAATGGACCGGTCTACTGCCACAAGAATCTCGGGAACAGTTTGCAAGCGAGTGCCACGAAGTGGTTCCTTCATCTTAGGAATTAAGTCATAGTCACAAGGGCTTAGATCTGGGGAGTGTGGTGGATGGTAAAGCACTTCCCAGCCCCATCGCTTGAACAAATCAGTCTCAGCTTGCGTTGCATGCAGCCGAGCATTGTATTGCAAATTGAGAG